CTTCGAAACAACCGAGGACCCAGACCTTGAAAATAAACTCCCACGGTTCACACACGTGTGGGATAACAAAGTCTATACAGAGTGGAGATCAGCGGTCAAAGTTTGCTATTTTTGTGAAAAAGAAGGTCACATTAAACGAGAATGTGAACAATACAAAGTATCGGTAGAATTAAGGAATGCCCACAGGGAATATAAACAAAAGAAAGCGGGCCTCTTTGCTAAAAAAGGCAATGAGAAACATGAAGCACCTGAACAGGTGCCCCATCATGCACCCACCCCAGACACTATAATGGATAACATGGAAATTAGCACGAGCATTGTGGACGCACAAATACATCAACCAGGGGAGGGCCCTGTCGAAAAGGAAAACCAGACAAATTCAGACTCCGGCCTGGTCACGAGAATGGAGGTAACAGAACCAACAACAAGGGGTCCAGTAACCCAGAAAGAGCACATGACAGAGGCCCCAGACAAGGGAGAAAATGTGGAAACACAACAAGACAGCCCAGAGACCCCAAGCTTACCAGAATATATGCGAGGCAATGTTAATCTGCGCGACGAACTGGACACACTTCCCCCTTCAAGCAACACAAATGCTCACAGCAAGGAGGGGCTGGACCCTAAGCTCTCCGAAACTACTATGGAATCCACTAATCCAAACGATCCTGAACAGCCGTTAACAGATGATTTCATCACTGTGGTAAATAAGCGATCAGCAGCGTCAAGGAAAAGTAAACTAATTGACAACACAATGTCACGGGAATTGGAAAATAGAAAATCCCCCTATAGCAAAAAGGGGAGAGGCGGTAACCCTTCCCGTCATTAGTCAAGGGACCCTACCTTTTACGGATCATGACACAGAACTTTAAACTTAAGATAGCAACCCTGAACGTAAAAGGATTAAATAATAAGGATAAACAACGTATAACTCTCACGCTGCTAAAATCATATCAAATGGATATAATATTTCTACAAGAAACAAATACTACAGATAAAAGCACTAGAGACTTTCTCAAAGCCCAATGGATCTATGATTCCATATGGACAAGTAAAACCGCCATATTAGCGGGTAACAAAGA